TGTGGCGAGTTGTACTATACTTTACGGATGACGCGTGAGATCTTGCATAATCCCATCTTAACCCTGGACTCTGAGTATGCTAACATGGTTATGAATATGGTTCGGCCATATCCGACTACAATATTTGTGGAAGGACGATTAACACTTGATTTTACTTTTGATGAGCTGATGAGGATTCGCTCTTGGACATTTCAGATCAGAAATCATCGTGAACTCATAATGAAATCGATGCTTGGTGTGCAGGTTTGTGTCACCCTATACATTACTATATAATTTATATTGCCTTATATTGATATCTTCTGTTTCTCAAACAGGAGCCAAATTTCTTGGACCAGCTTTCCAAAAATTTAACTAGATGTGGCGTAACAAATAACACTCTTAACTTCCTTCGTCTCTGCGTCATTCTTGAACCGATGCAAGAACTGATGTCCCGTCAAAAGGCTTATAGTCTCAATCCTCGCGATTGTCTCAAAACGACTCTTTTTCAGAAGTGGCAAAAATTGTTATCGCCCCAAGGTCAGGCGGCAAAGCCAGCACCAGGTGTTGTGTCTCATTTTATTCTCTTGCATTTTAATCATTCCTAAATCTATCCTTATCATGTTTTATGCACGAATTTTCCATGGGAAGGGAATGTTTTAGTTGTATATTTTATATGTATAATGGATTTGTGTTTTATGTATTTAATTTTGTTTTTACTATTTGCACTTATTCATATTCATTGTATTTTATTTTCGTTATTTATTTAAACCATAGAAAATATTCGTCAGCCAAGTAAACGTCGTAAACGTAAAGGATCTTCAACAAATTCAGATGGCGGCGGCGGCGGAGCCGGTGGTCGTACATCAAAACGAAAGCAATCGCCCGTTCCTGTCCAGGTGCAGAATATAGCTCAGACGTCTGGGGTATGTCTTAATGAACCTTTAGGCTTCGATTCGAGCATCCCAAATATCTAGCTTTTTTGTTATGATTCTTATTTGGCTTAAAGCTTCTCGATCTCTTTTTCTGCAGCTATAAGTTTTTCTCCATTCCTGCTCTAGATGGCATCTCTTTGAAATGATTGATTTCCTTTTCGCTTTCGACAGTAAAATTACTGTTCAAATTGTACTTTGCTGTCACGAATAGATTTGTTTTTCTATAATGATCAGGCTTTTTGCCACAATTTTCATTGTTTAAAATATCCACTAATTGTCAACTATGCTCTTGCCTACCACATACTTTCTCAACGCCTATCTTTTTGTATCTTTAGGATGTCATGATAGTTGGAGAACCCACTCTAATGGGCGGTGACTTTGGAGATGAAGATGAAAGGCTAATCACTCGTCTGGAAAACACACAATACGACGCAGCAGCTGTTGCGGCTGCAGCTGCAGCTGCAGCGGCTGCGGCACAACAGCAGCCACATCAGCCTGGGATGCCCCCGGGAATGTGCGCAGGGCCTCCACCTCCAGGCTCTGGTGTACCAGGTCCCCCTGGATCTGTTGGAAATCCTTTAACTCATCAGCATATGTCCCAGCAAGCAAGTCCCTTTATGTCCGGTGCAGGAGGCATGCCAGGCCCTGGTTTTCGTGGAGCGCCAAATAACCATTGCTATGCTCCGCCGCCACCAATGCAGCAGCAACAGCTGCCACCACATCTTCAGCAGCAACCACCTCCAATGATGGCTCCGCCTGGTTCGGGGTCGTATGGAGGTGGGCCTCTGGGCCCTGCTGGACAAGGTCTGCCACCACCAGGGATGGCGCCTCATCACCAGCAGCCAGGACCTTCACATGGAGGCCCTTCTCCACATCACCATCCCCATCCTCAACATATGATGTCGCCTTGTAAGTAATTATCTTTATAACTTCACAATCAAGTATGCCTTAGCTTGTATGAGTATTATTGCTATTATTCTTGTTTATTGCTTTTTACTATCTTAGGTTTTTTACTAATATTTCATCTCCGAATCTCCCTTTTGTGGTCATGATGTCTTTGTCAATAGCTTAACTATTAGGCTAGCATTGCTGCGCTATACTACCTGGGATCGCTTTCACGGGTATAACTCTTTCGAGCTGATTAGCCGCAAAGATTTAAAAATATTTTGGAAAAATTTACCACTTAGCTAAATATATAAATATAATATATGGAG